TGCTTCCTTCTTCTCACTTCTGTCCACCGAATTCTTCTTCTTCTTCTTTTTCTTTTTTTTTTCTTTTTTTTTGAGGGGGGGGGGGGTCTATCCAAAGTACGAAGAGCAACGAGTGAACGAGCTACGCAAGACATAATTAGATCGGCTATAGTACGCGACATTGGCTTTGCTTATCGCCGCCCTGCTTTTTCGGGTATCTAACTACCTACCGACTTATATTGTACTTATTCTATCTATGCCTGGTTAACGACACCTGTCTCACATTTTTCGGCTATTTTGTCTAACCGAAGGACAACGGCGGACGAATGTCACGTTGCCAGACACCCTGGTTATCAATTCCTCGGACACTTATGATTACACATATCGTGGTATATTCGGTGATACTTGAAAAATACTCTTCCTTCGGTCACGCTTTCGAGACGCTGTTTGCAAAATAGATCATAAGAATTAGGCCAAACTGCACGACTGTACACCTGCGTCATTCCCCGTATCGTCACGCGGATGGACGCTGGCGAGATACAAAAGACGAAGCGAGTCAATCTCTCGCTTAACCCCGGAATACTTTTCAATCTCTCTAAAATTGAAGGTCCACCTCGGTAGCACCTAACTTCTATCCTCGTTCGTCATTTTCCAAGTGATGACTCGCGATTCGCAAGATCGTGAATTTCATCTCTATCGATCCATCCACTGATTTGAATTTGTTCGAAGCGGCTATCGGTCGCGTTTTTCGAACTTCGCGCGGCATCGCAGGGTTAAAGGAGAAATTCCCAAGGCCTTGAAACTTAGAGTTGGCCCGATCCATCAGGCCAGAGACAGACTATCTTCAGACGATCTTAGACTATCTTAGTACACGGAAAAATGCTATCACTGGCAGGGTAGATACTGGCAACGGGGCATTCCACAACTCGTCTTCTCCTCCCCTCTTCCCTGTTTAACGTCTAACCCTTAATTACGCCATTAATTAATTATTCGTCGTTTTCTAATCTCATCGACGTCCCTCAGATTTCTTTGTCATCGTCGCTTTTTGTGCCAAACGCCTTTCCACATTAATATTATAATATTTTAGGTTCGTTCCTTCCCCGTGTTCTCCCCGCTCCTCGACAGTTAATTCACTCGCCGTTAAATGCTTAACACGATTACTTTTTATCGATAATACAATATAGATAATACGATTCTATTTATTTATCAATTAATTGTATGCTAGTTTATGATACGACGCGCCGATCTCTTCGTCCCCGTTCTCGCCTCGAAACTCTTTGAGGAACGTTGCGAAGAGAACGAGAGAGAATGAGAGAGAGAGAGAGAGAGAGAGAGAATATGTGTGTGTGTGTGTGTGTGTGTGTGTGTGTGTAATGTCACTCTAACATCCTATTTACAGTAAGAGCGACGTGTATGTCGATCAGAGCCTCGACAATGATCAATCCACCGATTCACCGTTCATTTATCATTTATCACGCGCGTATATACTATATATATTTGAACCTCCATTAAAATACGTAACGAAGCTCGTTGCCCCCAGCTGTGTTTATCTCAGCTTATTAAGCGGTTTTTTTTTCTCTCTCTTTTTTCTTCTTATCTTTCTTTGCATCACGACGTGACGATCGCGTACAAAAGTTGGAACGAATTGGCGCGCGTGTCGCGTAGCTGGCCGCCATCTTGAGTTCAGTGCAACACGAAATGGCCGCCCTCTTTGGTTAAATCTCACTTTTACCATTCGATGATATATAATATAATTGTATATTAAATTATTATATTATAACAATTATATGCAAATAATTGTTATAAAATTATATATTAAATTATTATATCATAATTGTATATAAATCATTATATAATAATTATATGATAATTCTTCTCGATTGAAAATCGCGGATGGAAATTTTGATCGACGAATATATTGATAAACGGAATTTCGACTTTCGTGGAATTTCACAACATTGACGAATTTTTCATCGTTGAACTGGCTCCGCGCGACCAATGGCAGCGTCCATCACAAATTATATTATCGTACGTTACTGCCCATTGAGCGAACGATTACGAATGCACGTTATACGAGTCCGTTTGTGTTGTCTTATCTCGAATTTACCTCGTTCATTTATTAATAGATTGGTTTTTCCCCGAGTGCTTTTCACTTTTCTTTCTTCATTTGCACGTGTGTGTATATATATATATATAAACATATACATTTATGTATGTATACTCGTGCCTCCACTTGTTGTATTCATATATTGTACTGTACAAAGGTATTTGTGTTATTGAACTATGCACGATTATAGTAGTGCAACATTTTACATATTTATTACATATTTATTCCACGACGGCACTGTTTATAGATTATTCTTGATTCAACAAACACTTCGCGAAACAACTCGATATATATTTCATGAAGTAATTTAATATTTTACTAACTCTTAATTTAAAAGAGAAAAAAAATTAGTAGTGGAATTGAAATAATACTGACACAGAATATACTTTTGTTTCACAAGTTGTCCAAGACTTTTGCACAGTACTGTATATGTATTTGTAAATATGTATATGTCTATTCATTTATTTTGATTATTTATTTATCCATCCCTTTTTTTTTTTTGCCTCTTTTAATTATTTATCCACGTTTTTCTTTGCTCCTCTATATGCATTTATATTTACATGTTTCTCTCGTTTTTAGTCTTTACCTGTTGTTTATTAAAGTGTAGCATAATCATAATTGATAAAGGATCGCGCGAGCCGATCGTCTGGTGTACCAATAACCGAACAAGCAGATGAAAAATTAGGCCTGTCAGTCTCAAACAATGTAAACTCTTCCATAAATATTTCTACAATTTACTTTCGATAGAACTGAAACGCGTTAAAGGACAAACGAAAACTAACAGATTAAACCTTCGCGGCTTAATTATAAATAATTTCGTTCCAACTGGTCCATGCTGCATCGACAGTTTCGTATCAACCGGTTATACTTATATAATAAATCACATGTAACATGATTATTTAATTCAATTCTTTTGAAATTCACGTTCAACAGATCAGCTATCCGATGTCACTGCTTTCAAATTCGTTATCAGTTGTCTCCCTTGTCGAAGAGACGAAATTTTTAAATTGAAACTTTGGACTTTTGTGAGAAATAAGACGTACTATGCCTCTGGAGAAAGGAAAATGGCTTTGCTGTCTTTCTCTCTCTCTCTCTCTCTCTCTCTCGAAGTCTCCGCGAGAATCGGAATTTCCGTGAATACCCTAATACATAACGATGACTCTTAAACGTTAACGTTTCAAGCGTAAACACTATACGACGTTTTTATATATATATATATATATATATATATATATATATTATATATATATATATATATATATATATATATATATATTATATATATATATCCACTTTTTTTTTCTTTTTACTTTTAATTAATCGTTCTCATTTCAAGAAAACACGAGCTCTATAATGTCCGTGCGACGGTCCAACAACCACCGACGCTTTGTATATCGCGCGTTCGCCTATATTGTCACGAGATATGATCCATAGAATATTCTTTTACCTTATTTCTCCATTTATTCGTGTATATACGTACGTGCATTCTTCTCTTTAATAATCGACGAGAATCGCCAATGTTTTCACGCGTGATTCCGAATATACATCGCGTATATCTGTATATATATATGTATACATATATACACACACACATTTGTATATATTAATAGTAATATATAGTATATATACATATACATATATATATATATATATATTAGTAAATATTAATAAGTATAATACCGAGCTCTTCGTATGTATAACGCTGTTCAATTAATTATTTCTCTTGTCCATTCTCGTTGAGGGTAATTCAATTCCTTGAAAAAAACGATAAATTACCAGTTCCTATCGTTTTTTCCACCTTTTTTCCTTTTTTTTTTTTTTCTTTTTCGTTTAACATCTCCCACCGTCTTTCGTCTCGCCGCAGAAAAACAGGGAACACGTTACTCTGAATTACAGGCGAATCGAAAAATCTCTCCTCATTTTGTTTCCTTTTTTTTTTTTTTTCTTCCGTTTCCTTTTCTCCTTCGTTTCGTAACTTTTATAAGGCCCAAATATTGTGCGCTACCTGTTCGACATGGGGATTACGCCAAAAAAAAGAGTGAGGGGGGAGGGGGGGGCAGAGAGAAGAAAAAAAGAGAAAAAAAAAAGAGAAAGGAAGGAAAGGAATCGCGAAAGCGTGTTTCTCGCGATTCGGTTTGCTGCCTCGGAGGACACCGCGCGTCACCGGCCTCGGTTTCTCGATTCTCTCTCGCCTCGTCGCGTTATGGTCGGCCCGTTTCAGCCAAACGCTCTCGGGACTCGTCTTGCGTCTTCTTTCGTCGTTCGATCTCCCTCTGGCACAAAAAGGAGTCACCGGCGACGAAAGAACTTCGATTCTCAACGATATTCTCTGATGTTGACGGGCTCGCGGGTTTTTTTGGCACACCTAACATTCCCCTCCCCCTCCCCTGATGAATTGCGATCGGTGCGACGCCGTGTCCTCGAAGCGTTGCCGAGAGCGTCGACTAGACCTAACCTAGAGCCATTTTCCTGTCGCGGCTTCAAGTCAGCCAAGCGCGGACCACGAACGGCGATCCCTGGAAGCGACTTGGTGACGAGAATCGACGACGAATCATCCTACGTTATCGTAGCAATCGCCGTTTAATCAAACCGGACTCGAGATCGGACTCTGTTACTTTGTTACGCTTTGTCACTATTTTCTGTTGCCTCGTTGCCGTGGTCGCCGTGGTTCCTCTCTCGTCTCCCGTATCGGGCTGCACTCGCTTCCCTCGAGACAAGACCAGACATCGATCTCGAGACGACTGTGTGGACCATAGAGAACGCTTCTTTGAACTCGCTCCTACATCATTGTGGGTTGGGGCTGCGGGGGGGTTGGGGTGGGAGGTTGGAGGCAACTGCCGAAAATTCCTGTGCTACGCCGCCTGGAATGAATTGCCAGTGTTCTTTCTTTCTTTCTTTCTTTCTTTCTTTCTTTCTTTCTTTTCTAGCTGTCCACAGAAGCGTCAGTCTCAGGTGGCACCACTGTCGCGCGCCACGGATTCCTCGGTGTTGCTACGCCGGTGACGTCCCCCCGTCGATACCGATTTCCGGTAATCGTCGTTCGCCACCACGCTCTCGCTGCTGGCGGTGGCTGTGGTGGTAATGGTGGTGCTCGTCGACGCGTTGTCCGAGGCCTGTGGGTTGTGGCTGGTGCCAGAAGGCACCAGCAAGGCGAGAGGTGGCGAGGACGACGAAGGTGACGACGACGAGGAGGCGGTGGTGGAGGTGGAGGTGGAGGAGGAAGAGGTGGAAGTGTAGGACGCATTGGTACGTTGACGCAGGCCGCCGACGAGGCCGTTGTTGGACATCTTGGCGCGTTGACGTCGCGCGGCAGACGTTTGCGACTTGGCCTCGTGCTTGATCGTCGTCGTCGTCGACGACGACGACGTCGACGCGAGCGTAACGCGTTCAAGCGTCGACGACGACATCGTCGTCGCTCGAGAGGCCAGCTGGTACCTAGTTGTCGGTGGAGCTTGCTGCTGCTGTTGCTGCTGCTGTTGCTGTTGCTGCTGCTGCGCTTGCACTCGAACGCGATGGCCGTCCCTTTGCTGCTGGGATGGACTTGGCAGGCTGTTCTGCAAGGTCCAGTGACCTTTTCTGACGATGGTGCCGCCAGTAGCGGCGCTGTTGACGGACGAGGAGGAAGAAGACGAGGCCGACAGGACATAGGCGCTGGTGACTGGTGTTGCGCCAGCGGCGGCGACGGCGGCTGCAGCGGTGGTTGTAACCGCTGATAGAGCTGCTTCCGGTGAACCGTCAGCCATCGGTGACCCCGCAGGGCCCGGTAGAGCGCGTACGACAGGCTCAGGAACAACGACTGGAGGACGTTGCTGCTGCCCGTTGCTGCCCAAATTGCCAGCGCAGCCGTAATCGTAGCTGCAGCATAGCTGCCCGTCCTACGGAGAGGTTCGTTGGACACTGGGTTAGCCAACGGCGAAACGAACGGGACCAAGCGACCGTGTCATGTTCGCTTGACTTTCGCCCTCTTCCGTTTCTTTTCAATCTTTCTTTTTTCTTTTTTTTTTTTTACGCGAAATTTCTCAAACTCCGTTCGCGCGAAAAGTCTTGGAACGCGTGCGTGCTGCCATCTGTCAGGTGCGGCGCGGTGCGGTATAGAGAATGACCAGAAGCGGGTTCGGAATTCAAATAGGAGTCTAGCGTCTGCGGTTGCGGTTGCCTTCCACGTCTCTCGCAGAGATTTCAAACTACAGGCAGAACTTGCTCGAACGTTTGAAAAGCCTGCCAAGGACGCGAGAGGACGGTGCGAAAGGACTCTTCTCGGCGTGAAAAAAAAAGTCGAATTCTCGTGAACGCGTGCACAGCTACGGCCACGAGATGCTGGAACATCGCGTTTAAGGGATCGATGAGAGTGTACACGTTTGTCGATTTCTCATGAGGAAGCGTGTACAACGAATGAAAGACCGCGAGTTGAGGAGAGTACGGTACGAATGTTGTCGACTTGTCGTTGACTCACAACGTTGCTCCAAGACTTTTCGCGTCGCCTCGGAGGATGCCCAGGTAATCCTCCACATAGTATGCAATTCATTGTTTCGTTGATGCCGCGAGACGTGAAACGTGAAAATCCGCGTCCTTCCGTTTTGCAGATGACCCAGCTTCCACGGCCCCTTTTCCCTCTCGATCGAGAAAGAGAGAACGGTTGCACAACTCTTTTTCCCTCCATACGAGCACAAATTACAAGAACTCGACTCATGACAATCATGCTCTGACATTCGGGGGACAAAACAATGAATTTTCATAGTATGTATTTGACACCTTCACGACACCGTGTCTAGGTTACCACTACTTCCGGCTACGATTTCGGCAAACACAAATCTCAAGATTGAAAAATCGCGACTCTTTCGAACCTTTGTAATTCTACTAAGAAAGGACCACCTTTGACGGATAATTGTCCGAACAAGATCGCTATAGATAAGCTTTAGAAAAATATAGAAAAAATTAACGTACGTCTTTTTCGTTTTTCCCTCCCTCCTTTTTTTTTTTTTTTCTTAATTAATTTCCAGCGTTTCGCGTTTTCCTTGGCGAAATCGTAGCAGGACAACACTCGATAGACAGAGAGAAAGAGACTCTTGGTGCTTCTATCGAATCTCGAATGCAGATCAGAGGAGAGTGCAAAAGAGGCTCAAGTGTAACGGAAACCATAATAATGGAAATAATAACAACAATAATAATAAACAAAGGAAAGACCAGAAAATGAAATCAAAATGCAGTCTGTGTGTATGCGTGTGTGTGTGTGTGTGCGCGTGTTTGTATGTACGTGAGCGTGTGTCTGTCACCACGTGCGTCGTGCGCCCCGACCGATACCAAACATTTAGGAAAACTTCAATTTTGTCTTTCATTATTTCGACTCAGCGACTCAGTGCATCTCCGAATGTGCGTTATTACTGTTACTTTCTTTTTTTTTTCCCCTCTCCCCTCTTCGAATCAAGTGATCTTCCACGTTAACTGAATTATTGTAATCAAGTTAGAAAAGAGCATGGGGTGAGTCGGTGCATGCGTGTCATTGTTAACGTGCATTTGGCTACTCTGACTTGACGTGAAGTATCTCACGAGCTTCTTGATCGACCGATCGACAAAAAAGAGAAAAGAAAAAAAAAAAAAACAAAAAACACGATTTTCTTTCAAGATACGTAAATGTGAGAAAGAAAAGTTAACCGACAAGTATACCCCTATCGTTCGAAGCAGCTCGTTTAGTTGCAAGTAAGTTCAATTCTAGTCGAATTCACAATTCAAAAATGTTACGAGCATATTGATGCCAATTCATTGAAGAGAGATTCATGAAAAACAAAAAAAAGCGATTGTCTTCGGTTCTATCAAGAGTTCAATTCTGATTACAGCTTCCAATACGAAAAAACATGCGACGTGCTCGCGATTCATTATCAGAGAGTTAAGACCTTGCCACGCGTCTATGCCACGGGCTGCTTGCAAACCTAGACACCGCCATTTAATCCCGCGCACAGTGGTGCCAACCTTTCCCCGAAATGTTCCAACGAGATTATCAATTTGTGTAGCAAGGATCGTCGACGTACAATCTTCGTATCGTTAGCTCAGTTATTCAACGTCCGGTAAGAATTGCAAGAATTCGTCGCGTGGCGTAGACGATCGGCGGGTGAAGTTGAAAACCGCAAGAAAATGTCGTGAGGTTAAAAGCCATAGGTGGCCAGCGTGCGGCATCTAGTGGATTCTAAACGAACGTTGCAACACATGTAGGGGGGGGGGGGGGAGAGGGGGAGAAAAAGAAAGAAGTAAAATTCGAAACGAAGATGCAGAAAAGAAAGCGTGGTAAGGTGGCGGTGATGGTGATGGTGGTAACGAGCAAGCAGAAAAGGAAACGAAAGCATTCGAGCTCGTGGACCGACTTTTAAACAAAAGTTTCAGCAGGTAAGAAGTAATACACACACACAGAAAAGAAAGCAGACAGAGAGAGAGAGAGAGAGAGAGAGAGAGAGAGAATACTGAGTTAATAATTAATATAAATAAAAGAAAGAAGAATAGGCGGGTAGAGAAGATTATAGGTGAGGTAGAAGTGACGTGATTACCGATGCACACAACACGCGCTATTGCTCACCAATTGGGCGCAGTACGGCACCTGCAAGGATACCCATCGTTAGGCTAGTCAGGTTAGTCATTCACGGCCGATGGTATGTGTGTGTGTGTTTGTTACGGTTATGTTACATGAAATGGCAATGGGCGGGGGGGGCGGGCGGGGGGGAATTACTTCGAATGATTACACAGCACACGTTTTTGGTTTTTGGGTAATTAATTAGGAACGTCATTCTGCTCGACGCATCTCAGCCCATCTCTCTCCTCGTCGATTCATTTCAGACACTGTGTTTAACTTGACCATTTTTTTTTTTTTTTCTCTTTCCTTTCCTGTCTCTCTTCCTAATGTTTATAGTCACGTTTATAGTCACTATTTTTCGCTACCAATATATATATATATATATATATATTTTTTTTTTTTTTTTTTCTATCGATATATATATCGTTAATGACTGTTTCCTCCTCAATGAATCGACGAGGCGGAGGTCATGCTGCACGCTCGGTCGTAACGAGATATCGTTAGTCGCTGTCAGGCGATTATTGTACTGAACACGATCCATGCAGGGCCGACCCGAAGCAGTGAGAGCTTCCCGAGTTTCCCGAGCTTCTCGTATGAAGAGATCTCGGCGATGGCGAGAGTTGATCAGAGAGATATCATGCCTTCGCGCACGCGAATTTGTTTTTCTCGCGGCAGTGTTCAAATTATGTGGTGAGACCTAAAACAGCATCGTTTAAATTCAACGCAAGCGTTGTTCGACATATTCGTTTTTTAAATAATTTTTAAGCTATATATACATATATATATTTATTTATTTATTTATTTATAGAGCAATTTTTAAGCAATTAATTTAGCACCTGGTTTGTACACAGTGAGCGAGGGTTAAACGAAAGAAAGAAAAAAAAAAAAGAATAATTGTACAATTGTTCAAATCAACTGTCACTACAAAAAAAGAAAAAAAAAATATATATATATATATATGTAACAACGATAACATGAATAATAATAGTAATGATTCTCGTTTCTACGTTACGTGATTACTCTGGTCATTAGGTAAACATGCATAGTAAATATAATACATGTACATATATATACAGTGCCGAATTAGAAGTCTCGTTTTTCTTATGTAAGGCGAAAGACTAATAACAACAATAATAATAATAATAATAATAATAATAGTAATGATGACGATAATAATGAACACTGCCGCGTGCAAGGCAGCCAACGAAAAGACATTACACATAAAAAATAGTCTAGTCTAACTTAGGGACGCCCCTGAACGTGTCTCGTACGCTGGCATTACCAGAATTCAAATCATCCGGGTCAATCGAATGCGAGTACAGCGTCAGATTTAATTCGCACAACGGACAAATACTAGCACGACGCATGGTTATGGTTAGTACCACGCCGAGAGAAAACGTATGTGCCGCCAAGTGTTTTCAAATTCGTTCATTTGTTCCAAGAGACTTCGTTCAGCCTTTGAAGTCGAAATTAAGGGTGTCGAAACCTTCTACGTTTCAATCTAATCTAACATTTATCAATTGAGTATGTTGTGTCAGCCACAGGCTCGAGCAACGTGTCGCGCTATTAAAGTAGAATTAGTCCTAGACTAGACTGACTAGAGTATCGTAAATCCAGCTTACATCTAGACCAACTCCAATACTTGGATGCTACAGCAACGCTAACGAAGAGTAAGCGGAAGAAACAGATTTGCTCGACCAAAAGGAAAACTAAGTTTCAATAGTTCAGAGTGCTGGTAAAGTAGTTATTGATTAAATTACTTGGCTAATGCTACCTTTAGTTTTACAGTCCCAGTTGTCTTCACAGACAAACTGGACGCTCCTCCTTCTTGTCTCGTCCCCTTACTTTTCAACTGTCGTCGACTTCCATCAGTCGAGTGAGTACAAAATGTGATCGAATGTCAAATTGGATTTGGATATTAGTCTAAGCGTGCGTTAAGCTGGATCAGTCTAAAACTAATCTAAGTCTCGTGTGTACGCTACGATCGTAATGTGAAAATTCACGGGACTCGTACGTTGTATCACTTCAAAGACTTTGATCGAGTTCTCTCGTTTTTTTTCTTTGTTCATGTTCACTTTCTTCTCTCGGCGTACGTGAAGAGCGAGATTTTATTAGCGCAGTTAGGCTCGCAACAGTTGTCGACACACGGCAAAAAAAAAAAGAATAAATAAATAAATAAATAAATAAGTGGCATACTGGAAATAAACGACAGTATCAGTAAAATAGGTACCACGAGTTCGTAGGATTACCTATTTAAATAAATGACAGCGAGACGAGTATAAAGATTGAGAAACAAAAAACCGTGAGTGAGGGAAAGATAAACATATTCATATGCTGACATGTGTGGCTATGATTGAACACGTGGCGGATGATGTCACTTTATAACACATCTCATAAATGTGCCTCTTTCCCTTTCAAATAGTGGCTTTATGCGAATTATAAGAGTATCGCAAGCAACGATTATTCTTTTAAATAATTTAGATATGTTACGTTGCACAGAGAGTGCAATAGAGCAGACGAATTGAAAAACGAAAACTAGGAAACATACTTATTTATTATTTTTGAAATTAGTCACGTTCAGGCTGATGACCATCTACGTGAAAATATAAGCAGTGTTAATCAGCATCAAATATTGCAAGAGAAAGAATGTTATGTCTAAGAGCAGTTATTGTTGAGCTAATCCGCCACGTGTGTTATGTATGTACAACGGTGTTCTCGGAACGATCGTCTGTCGCACAGCAGCTGGTCGCATCTCGTCGGATTGATCAGACGCATGACAGAACCACGGCTAAATGAAGGCGATATTTAGTTTCTTTTTTTTCCTTGTATTTACTGACCTTGAGCTCTTGACTTCGCGGGAGAAGAGAGCGCAGTAAAGAGAAAAATTCTGGCCAAGACGCTCGGCGTTGTTAAAGCAAATAATAAAAAATGGTGGCGCCATTAAACACTTTTCTTACATGTACGCGACGTTAGAAGAAAAATAGAAATAAAATGAAAGTACGCACGATAAGAAAGAATAGTTGAAAGAGAAACGAAGAACGCAAGAAGACAGCAATATCAGAAACTCATACTTGTTGAAACCCGCGTTAGAAATCGAAAACAACCTGCTCTCTGCGATTCGCACTCTCTTCCCTCGCGAACCCCTCTATATTATCCTGCGATACCGATGATTCTTCAGTCTGCCACTGATTGAACTCTAGCTCTCTCCTTACCCTGCAGTCGCACGTGGTGCACTTGTCATGGGGATCCTGCCAGGAGCTGCCACTCTCGTAGACAATGCCGGAGTAACTACAGGGCCGTGCTTTGGTCACATCCTCGAGAGAGGTGTCGTTCCCAGGCAACACTCTTCGGCAGGGATCGTTCTCGCAACGAGGACAACAGTCCCCCTCCTCTGTCACGGGGTTCGTGCAAGTCAATGGTGGACACTCCATCTGCCAGCAGTCTATCTCACCGTACTGCAACACAACGGGCAGTGATTTTGTCAGAGAGAAGCTCACCGAGGAACAGGGATCGCTAGGAAGAACATAAATAAATATGCGAGTGAATCTGTCACGATGGACACAACGTTGTGATGTTTATTATCCGAGTAACGTTTCGTGAAAGAAAGGCGAGACGTTTGAAATGAAAGTAGAGATTTCGAGGCTGGCGCCGTTACCAGGCATTCGCAAGTCTGACACTGATATATCCATCGTTCGCCACTTCTGAAGATCAGGTAATGAAGATCTTGATGCCTGCAGGAGGCGGCCGGGTCGCATTGAGGGCAACACTTGTCCATGCGACTTCTCGGGGCGCTGCAATCGCAGACAGGATCCTTGCACGTGATGACGCCATTTTTGCAGGTGCAACTTCTGCAGGGATTGCCGGCTTGCGGCACGGTATCTCCGTTCATCACCTCTCGGCCCTCGAACCAGCAACCTGTTAAAGACGCAAAGAATTCTCTCTCTTTTCAAAGTTTCAAAGTTCCTCGTCGTCGTTTTTTTTGAAACTGTGGACTCGACGAGTCAAAGCAAACACTGCCCTGAACAGTAACTGAAGTAAAAATAAATCTACATATATATATATATATATATAAATGATATTTATATTTATTTAAAAATTAATAAGAAAATAAATCTATTTATTTTAACGTTGAATTGCAAATTTAAAAAAAATTAAATATCAGTTAATGTTTATTGAAAAATTTCCAAGATTCTTTAGTTAGATAAGAGATAGATGATACTGACAGTCGTTTAGAGCATGGAAGAGAAATAAATTCCTAGCGTGAGCGTGATACTTACTCAGCCTACATTCCTCCACAGCGTGATTGTCAAAGGAGCGTGGTAGACAACTGCACATGTAACCTCCTTCGGTGTTGATGCACTTAGCAGTAGGATGACAGGTGTGCCTCCTCTCGATCGTTTGGTCGTTGCATTCGTCGATATCGATACACTGTACACCCCGGACACCATCGTGGAAACCGATCTTGTAGCCTGGTTTGCAACGACAGTAGTACCAACCGGGCATATTGACACACGTCGATGTCTCGTGACAATTATCCATGTTGCTCGCGCACTCGTCGAGATCCATTTCGCAGTTGTTGCCGGTGTAACCATGCCGGCAAGAACACTCTCCTGGCGCCACGCATTCGCCACCATTTTGACAGATTTGATTGCAGATGGCTGAAGAGAACGAAGAGGATGATACAATGATAGTAGAAGATAGAGAGAAAGAGACTCGAGGAATTCGAGTTTATCGAAATCTTTGAATCTAGATTAAAGTAAAAATTCACTTTGACAATTTTCGACGAGTGAAAAACCTGAGGCTGCAGGAGAGATGCACGAATTATGTACGTTATTATACTCTGAAACCATGAAAATTTCGATCTGATTGGCTCACGATCTAATTATTATATGTAAATTAAAGTTATTTTTTAAAAAACTAGATATGACAAATATTTAATTTTAAATATATTTTATTTCATAAATATATATTTATATATATATATATATATAGATTGTTTATTAATATATAATTAGATCGTTTATTTTCGAGATAATTTAAATTATAAAAATAAACTAATCAACCTTGGTACAAAATGTGCAAAACAGATTTTACTCGTTTATTTTCTAAAAAATTCATTTTCATTACTTTAAACTATTGATAATATTATTAACTTAATCTAATTATTACTGAAATATATTCTTGTTATAAAACTTTATTCAATCATGTCAATTTAAAATTATATATATATAATTAGATCATTCATTTTCGAAATAATTTAAATTATAAAAATAAACTAATCAACCTTGGTACAAAAAGTGCAAAGCAGATTTTACTCGTTTATTTTTTAAAAAATTAATTTTCATTACTTCAAACTATTGATAATATTATTAACTTAATCTAATTATTACTGAAATATATTCTTATTATAAAACTTTATTCAATCATGTCAATTTAAAATTTTATATATATATATATATATATATATATATATATATATATATATATATATAGAATTAGATCATTCATTTTCGAGATGATTTAAATTATAAAAATAAACTAATCAATCTTGGTACAAAAAGTGCAAAGCAGATTTCACTCGTTTATTTTCTAAAAAAATTCATTTTCATTACTTTAAACTATTGATAATATTATTAACTTAATCTAATTATTACTGAAATATATTCTTATTATAAAACTTTATTCAATCATGTCAATTTAAAATATATAATTAGATCATTCATTTTCGAGATAATTTAAATTATAAAAATAAACTAATCAACCTTGGTACAAAAAGTGCAAAGCAGATTTTACTCGTTTATTTTCTAAAAAATTCATTTTCGTTACTTTAAACTATTGATAATATTATTAACTTACTCTAATTATTACTGAAATATATTCTTATTATAAAACTTTATTCAATCATGTCAATTTAAAATTATATATATATATATATAATATATATATATATATTAATAAATACATAAATAGTGAACCATTAGAAAAGAAACGTACGCTTGCACGTGTAACCATCGCCGGAGTAGCCTTCGTTGCATGTGCAGTAGTAACTTCCGACGGTGTTGACGCAGGTAGCGTGCTCGTCGCACGCGTGATGGCCGGTTGTACACTCGTTCAACTCGACGCAGTTGAACTTGTCCACTCTGTGGTAGCCCGGAAGACACTCGCACGTGTAAGAGCCGATCGCGTTCACGCATTTTGTATTGGCGTTGCAGTGATGACCCTCGGAGCCGCCTTGCTGCTTGCATTCGTCTACATCTGCGTCGTCAACGTGTTTCGTTTAATCATTTCGTGCGAATTTCCCTCCGTTTACGTTTCTACTTAGTTAACATTTTACTTAGTTAAACATTTTCACCCGAACAGTGTGTCTAAAAATTGAATCGCTTGAAGGACAACGACAGCTACCTTCAAAGAATTTCAACTGTTAAGAAATCTCGAAATGAAAGGAAAAAGAAAGAAAAATGGAAAAGCATTCGGATCGTTTTCCTTGTGTTATTTTCACACGTATCCCCGATGCTCTTGTAAAATCCATTTTAAACACGCCCGTCGTCGCGAATCCCGAGCGGCTATTTACAGGCAACGAAGCGAAAGATCTGAATATAACAGAGGCAACCATGTCACCACGCAAAATCGTCGACGATCCGGCTGGCTTCGACGGGTAAGCAAAGACGCGTCAGATCGGCCACGTGCGCGGCAACATCGATCCTCTGCATATTTCACGACGGCGAATCGATCGTACCGCCATCTCGGTAGATTCGATCTGTTAAAGCTGGATTTGATCAAGTTTGCTCGACTCGAGCCAGCGAAAGTTTCCTTGAAAAAAGAAATGTTGACTCCCTTTGCGAGTTCAATTTAATTAAATTTCGGGAATTAAATTTCTAATTATTTGAATTCGAAACAGCCTCTGACTGGTCTAAATGACTAAATTATAAACTAACATCGACACGAATGGAAAGATACAGAGAGACAGAGAGATGTAAAGAAACAGAAAGAGAGAGAGAGAGAGAGAGAGAGAATGTTAGGTACCGTCACAGTTATGACCATCCCCCTGGAAACCGATATCACAGTGGCAGGTGTATGTTGTCTGCAGGTTCAGGCAGGACGCGTTAGCGTGACAATTGTGGCCCTTCGCGCAGTAGTCCACCCCTGGTTAAATTAGTGGTTAGCCAGACGGATACAAAAACAAGTTAGAACAATCGAATAATCAGAACATTAGACCGTTTCGGTTTAGTTTAGCTTAGTTTCACATGCCATTCGACGTGCTTTTCACATGACAGTAGAATAGAGGGATTTTGTTCGCCTTCCTCTAGAGAACATTATTATCGTAGATAAATGCGAGTATCGTGGAATGACATACAGCGTTTCTTTAATCGGGGTTGATCAATGAATGTGTGATGAATTATGACCGAATATAATCGCTTGTCACAGTTCTCGATCGCTTGTATTGAATAACTGTACCTGGACAGAACTTGCAGCATTCCTCGGCTACGCTGATCTGCTCGCTCGGTGGACAGGGCAGTGGCGGACATTTTTTATCCGTGTCGAACCTGTGGCAGGTGAAGCTGCCGTCGAAACAGTCGCACTGCACGCAATGCTTCGGCGAGACTCTCTCGCCGTGATCGTACAGCACTCCGTACAGGAAACATTGCTCTGGGGATAATCATATAAATCAGTAGCGAAGCAATTTGAATAATCACAAAGCACCAGTATTAACTCGTTAATTAAAATTCGACAACAAACTAAAGTCACGAAAGTTACAATTCAATTGTACAATTGCATTGAATATAGATCAGGGTAGGTGAATTTTGATGAAAATTAACTCCACCTAAAGATCCCAGACGATTTAGTGATTCAAGCCGAAATCTATTTAAGATTTAAAGATGGCTGACTGGTAGCCTCTGTCTTTCTCTTAACATTTTTATACGAGAATTATTCAGCGTTTCAATGCTTGCCGATTACCATCGATTTAATTGTATACAATCAACTACAAATACAATTCAATTAATTAATCGATCGGAGGGTATAAATCAGTAGCGAAGCAATTTGAATAATCACGAGGCACCAGTATTAACTCGCTGATTAAAATTCGACAACAAACTAAAGTTACGAAAGTTACAATTCAATTGTACAATTGCATTGAATATAGATCAGGGTAGGTGAATTTTGATAAAAATTAACTCCACCTAAAGATCCCAGACGATTTAGTGATTCAAGCCGAAATCTATTTAAGATTTAAAGATGGCTGACTGGTAGCCTCTGTCTTTCTCTTAACATTTTTATACGGGAATTATTCAGCGTTTCAATGCTTGCCGATTACCATCGATTTAATTGTATACAATTAACTACAAGTAAAATTCAATTAATTTTATGCGTACTTAGGCAAATGGGACAGCATTGCCCCTCGGGAATGACAGGGTTCTTGCAGTTGACGGGTGCGCAGGCTGTCTTCCTGCACTCGATCTCCCCGTGAATGCAGGAACACTGTTGGCAATCCTTCTCCCATGTGGCACCGTCCTCGTGGACGGTGCCGTTCGCCCTGCATGACTTTTGGCACTCGCACTCCTCCACTTTGCTTATCCTGCCCTCTGCAGCGGCTAGCTAAAAGGAAGGACGTGAATGAGCGAACGCCACGAATCGCCCAGGAACTCTTTTCCCCGGTGCGAAAAACATCCAAAAGCAAAACTGTCGCCGTGAACGAATTTAAATTTATGCTCACCCTACGCGTCAGCTCGTTGAGATTGCGCATCAGCTGTTCCACCGTGTTTTGTAATATAGAAAATTGACCGCATGTGGGACAGAACGAATCGAGCAGCGGACACTGGGACAGGTAGCCATGGGGGCCTGCTATCAGCCTCACATCCTGCAATGCACCCTGCGGCGCGACAATCGTACGAACTTGTCTCAGTTGATTGAAATTTCAAACACTTGCGAGATTATAAAATTACGTGGTGCGAGGGTGAGTTGACAACCTCGTTGAAAGAAAAAAAAAAAAGAAAAAAAAAAGACATGCGGTGACTTTGAAGTTCCTCGAAGATAATTGCATTGTCAAATATTTGGCGTGTCCCAATTGACGTGCTCGTTTCAAAATTGACATGACGCGAGAATGATCTACGAAATGCTGGATGAGTTAAAAATAGAAAGTGTCTAGCACACGGCAACGTGCGAGAGAGAAAGAGAGAGAGAGAGAGAGAGAGAGGGAACGAAGTAGGATTAAGAGGAAGAGGAGGTCGTACCTTGAAGAGAAAGTGCCTGGCATTTCTCTGTCCAACCCAAAGCTGAAGCTGCGGCAGAGTGAAATTGGTGTCAGGTGGCCCGGGCCTGAGCAACCGCCTGTACAATAGATGACAGTCGACGAGCAGCTCGATCTGCGAGCCGCTCACGCTCAGGGCGACCTTGTGCCAGGCGCTGTCGGCCAGACGGAAAGGAAACGCTTCCACGTGGACGCTACCGTCCTGGCGCGATACGTAGTGAAGTCGAAGCTCGTCTCTACGGCCGCTGCTCTGCAGCTCCAAATATCTGTCAATCCACGGCAAAACAGTTTCCAAGCTGCACTGGATTTCTATCATCTGAATATTGAAATATCGCGCGACATTGAAAGTTACTAGAAACCCGAGTGACGCAACCTGAACGATTCGAACCTTGTTGTATCTTAACCTCTGTACAGTAAAGTTTTCTGCAAATTGAGTTTCAATCTGAGAGTCAATTAGTTATCGTTAGTCTCGTTTCAAAAGTGTCGATTTATCTTCTTCGGGGGTTTTTCGTTGAGAGCTAGGGAATGGTTGCAACTCGACTGGACTCTGCCGGAGGCTATGAGATTGAATCTTTGTTCGCTAATCGCGTGAAATTGTTTAATAGGAAGTTAACGAACCGCGTGATTTGATGACGCAGTTGGAGAGAGAATGTGGTACACGAACCGTGTCTGTAAGTCGATTAAAACCCGTTTCAGCCTCTTAATTGAAACGTATACACGGAATTACATGGATCACGTGATTGAATCAGAAGGGAGTTGATGGCGTGTGTGTGTGTGTGTGCGTGTGCGCGTTATCACCGTCTCTAATGTGAAACACATATCGGGATTTTGCAGGCTATCGTTGACAATAAACGTAATCGACATTCCAGTTCTGGGAAACGTTCAATTTATCTTTTACATCGTTCCGTTCATCTCTACGTTCGCTAACATGTACACCATGTTTCAACAAAACAGTGAGATCGTGTCAACTTTCGTCATCTTCTGTATAAAAGGAATTAAAATCGTAATGGAAACGTTTGGAAACATGAATTCAACTCCGAGACAGAAAAATGTATACACCGTATACATTAATGAGATTAAAATAACAGTGATTGAAGAAAATGATGAAACTCGAGACTTTGAAAATTTTTACAATTACGAGATGTTGAAGTTTAAATACCGACCGAAAGAATCGTTTGAGGATATAGGTTAATCCGCGTTTAACAAAAGTCCCTAGATCTCGCGTTTCACGCGAGAGAGACGCGACCGTATCAACATTTAATTCCGCTTAAACTCTGACAGCGGTTTCTGCTTGACGAAGCGTGTTAATTACTGTCTAAATACGCGGACACGTAGTTGCATGTATCCAATTTGTGTCAGCCAGGTCAAAACGACTAGACTGCGCTACTCACGTGCCAACAGAGGGTGCGGCTACTTTGAGGTTAAGTGCTCTCCTTTCGTTCCCGGCTCAACAATTGACACAGTAACTTCCTTAACAACCGGGCCTTCCTACCTTTTTCAGTTCGTCGATTCTGTTAGAGCTCGCTAACTCGTTCGCCGATCGTAACGATCGACTTTTTAGTCGAAGGTTGGCAGAGGGTCAGAGCCGTTTCTGGCCAACGTTTCCTCCGAACGAGTCTTTCTCAAATTCTTTCTCTGTATTTGAGTTCATTCGTAAAGAGAAGTGGAACATGTTCTCGGTCCCTCTGATTAAAAAGGATTAAAAAGTTTCTTCGCGACACTGCAATGTTAAGAGCCGCGCAAACTCGTTTTACTCGTTGCACGTTCATAACATCAATTCAATTGGGAATTAATTTCCTTTGAATTAATTTCCCCGTGTAAACGAAAGGCAACTCAAAGGGATTTGAAACAATGTTCTGTTTATGCACGGCTACAAACATCATCCACGGTGGGAGTTGCTTTGACTCCATCGCCGAATGGAACGAGAGGAACGTGAAATAACGTGTGATCCGTACCTATTGTTCCCATGTGAAAAGGCGACGATCGTCCCGGAATTGGCCTCCTCCTGTCGCAGAGCGGCGGCTATAGTAAATTCCGGAACCCGCCGAAGTAGCGTGACCGCCCGTTTGAAATTCGCCTCGTCCAGCCGGAGCTCCCTCGTCTCGCCTGAAGTAGTAAAACTCAATCATTCCTGCGACCCGTTCGTCCATTCCACGACACATACCAATAACGTATGTCGTTTCAAGAAAGTGCAGTTAGTGGATTATTTTAGAAACGCGTTCGATTACAGACTGACATTTTCTCAGCTTCCAACAAGAGAAACATAATAGTTATTGTCAATAAAACAACATTATATAAATAAACTGTTATAAATATTATAAATATTATAAATTAATATTTATAATATTGTAATATTATTATAACATTTAAATTAATATTTGTACAATTTAAATCTATATTATTATAATATTTAAATTAATATTTTAAATTTTAAATTAATATTTATAATATTATAATATTATTATAATATTTATAATATTATATTATAAATATTATATATTATATATTATGTAATATTATAATATGTATAATATTGTAAATATTATATTATAAATATTGTATATTATATATATTATGTAATATTATATTTATAATTTATATAATATTTATATAATATTATATTATAAATATTATATAAACAATAATACAGTATTAGTAAGTCTAGTAACTTTTGTGGTAGACATTTTTGACTATTTCAAAGTAGCAGTCATTTACTTTGAAATCTATATAAATCTATACTGTGTCTATTCATCAGTTTCGAATAAAATTTGTAATTTATTAAATGATTTAAACAATTTATCAAGTTAAGCTACGTTGCTTCTTTCTATTCGTCTTAATTTTTCTTCTGTCATTAAATGAAAATTAGAAAATTTGCGACTGTTACGGACAGTAGTTTGAACTTTGGTGTGTAAATAAATGGAAGTAGGAATGTAATTTTGATTGCAGCCAAGTTTAACCAGTGCTGCCGCCTACGTGGAGTCTCGTAAGTTGGTAACAATGGACAAAACTACTTTTAAAGTTCGACAGAAGTGATCCATCATAGAACAGGGCTCGTAGAAAGTTCGAGAACATTGCTCGTCCCGACAATGGAAGAATTCGCAGATCTGGTATGTAGGTCAGCCGAAAATTTTTGTTGGGTCGCATCGATTTGTCTGATTCATGGTTGGCGCTCGCATAGTTACGTAATCCAGGCGACATGGAAATTCGATTGCTCGCAATTACCGGCTCTGTTACGTTCAGGAAAATTCCAACAAACTTCCGCAATAGAACTTCGATTGCACGGACTTGCCTGGAGACAAATAGTTGTATAATTCGAATCCAAAATGATTCTCTTCTCTGCTAGTAATTTTTCGTTTCCCTTTTTTAATAGGAGCAATCCAGAGTTCATTTAACCAAATATTGACTAAAATTTGCTTCGAATAAACGAAGATCGTACAAACGGAGTTCTACCGTGCATCTCAAACATTCACACTTTTTCGTGGAAATTAAACAGCGGAATTAATAATGTTCAACCTCAAAATCTATTTGCAAAAGTCAACGATGGATTAAGTTCCATCTGTGAAAATCATTCAAATATTTTCATCGACTTGTAAAATTTAACTTTATCAAAGCAAAAAGAATCAATCTTCGATTTGAAACCTAATTTTATCATAGTACATAAAATGTATGAAAACAAAAAGCCAGATCTATAAAACCCAATCAGTGGGTTTAAAAATCTAACATTGCCATTGTGCTTGAATCATTTAGGGGCACGCAATTTTAAAGAAAAAAAAAATCTCTGCCTGCAGAGAATTTTTTTAAATATAAAAAAGAGGGGGAAAAATGTTTGTTTCAATTATGAAACACAAAATAACTCTTAAAATGATAAAACAGTAATATTTAAATAAATTCTTTGTTACAGAGTGGGGGCATGAATAATCCCACCGTGCAACTAACGTTTTAAATGAAATTCATCGAAACACACCTTTTTCTCCAAAACAAAGTGGATTAAAAAAATATCCCGCCATGCATTAACTGTAAAAAACAAAATGTGTTTAACAATTTTAAACCAACCTTAAAAGATTTAAGTAATTTCAATTTCTATTAAACTGTCTAGTTTTCACGTGAAATTTAAAATTCCGCGATATCGCGTTGTAATAAACGCCCGCGCACATGCTGGTTCGTCAATTCCCCTAGACGTTGTGGAATAACTACACCGCGCCATCTATACCGGCTGTAAGTCGACACCTTTCGCACGACGTGACGGTTCATTAGTTTGTAGCAAGGCACGTGCGATAAAGTTTCACTGGAAGCGGCATAACGCGTGCAACTCTGATCCTTCGTCGTTGAACACGCCGAACGGGATTAATTGTTCGCGTGGGCCTCGTCAACGAGGCGTGTAATCGGCCGGGGGGCCCGCCGGCAACTGGCGCGCCTGCCCAGTGACGATCGGCGCGCGCAACGCGTGAATGCAGCGCGCATGCGCCGGGCTTCCCGCGTGGGGCCTCGAGTTTCAAACGCAGCGCGCCAGCGCTTAATGGAAAAAAAAAAAAAAAAAGTAACCGGACACCAAGGGAGCTGTAACGTGCACCGGAGGACCATCGAATGTTATACTGCAGTTCAATTATCCGACAGTCGAGTGACCCTAAGCTGAGCGTAATTGTTTCGCGCCAAATGGCGCGACGTATCGATGACAGAGTCGGCGATCGTGGGTTGAAAACGAGGGTCACGGCTAAAGTGCATGCACTTTTATACCGATACGCGTGCATCGCAGGTGACTCACGGTCTTTTGACGGAACGTGAAAATTGAGAAGTGGAGCGAACTTGCCGCATTAACGAATACAAAACACTCTTCTGAAATCGATATCGTCGTTTTCTGGCTGTGAGATCGGTATAAATAAAAGGAACGCTGTGGGGACTGAAAGAGTTACGACAGGTTACAAAGTTAATTCATTCAAAATCGCCGAAGAACGATGAAAGAGATGGCCAGCGTTGATTTAGGATCTGGCCTCGGCGAGGAAGTTATTCGTTTCGGAAATAAACAGCGCGCAGATTAGATCGTGGATCCCCCACAGAAGGGACATAGACGTGGGGGTTGAGCAATTTTAGGAGCCGGAGTGCCTCTGCTTCCCCATCCAGCTACAAAAGGGGGATCGCGAAATCTTGTTTTCCATGTTCCGAGAGAAAACTCTGACACGTGTCGGCGCACATCGTTCCTATCCTTTGTTCGGCGATTACAATGGCCCTCGCGCGATTCGAAATGAATGAACCGAATTTCGGGGATGCTGCCTGTTTCTCAACTGTCCATGAGGATATCCATCGAGGGTGAAACGTGACCACGTGACGTGGAAAGTAAGAGCGAGGAAACGCGTACGTAGTGGTTAATGGAAGGATAATAAAACATCGATGGAGTATATCGTTTCACGAAAAACAGATCCCAACTGCTTTGACTAGAAATAATCCTAACCTAATTATTTTAATATCTTGTTCAAACTAGGAAAGTAGTATTTATAATTTTCTGCAGTTTCTCGGCTCGAAGAAAACCATCATCGTTCATTGGCAACGATCATTGGCAACTCAACAAATCTCGTTCCTGCAATATCGCAAGCAATATCAACGGAGCTTCAAAAACACAGTCATCGTCGTTTGCCAAGAACTCGCACGCGCCACGGTATGAAACATTTCGGCGGAACAATGGCAGCGATTTCAGCTCGTGAAACCTCGCACGAAGAGACAGAGAGACGAGCGAGAAATAGGGTTGGGCCGAGGGGTTGCAACGACGACGAGAAACGAAGGCAAGAACGAGAGCGAAAAAAAGAGAGGGGTTTCCCTTTGGTTTGGACGTTGCAAACCGCAGAGAACGTTCGGTTACTTCCGCGAAAGCATCGACAGAGGGTGCAGACCGGGGCCGGTAATTGAAATTTCTTTCGGGGAAACCCCTGCTGTCGCCCTTGGGCCAACCACCCCCCTTCGTCCCGTTTCTCTGCTCGCTTTTCGCGGACGTTGCACCGTCGCCCACGCTTTTAGCTACTAGGCTGTGTGCACGTTTCCCTGGCGTCCGCGTGAAGGGGAGGTCGTGGCATTAACTCGCTATACACGGTGTCGCCAAATACTAGATTTTATACCGTCGACTGAACGAAAGAGAAAAAGAGAAACGAGAAAGTTGCACGTGTATCAGGACACTGTGTATCAGGATACTTTGTTATTTTCAATGTCCAGTATTTACGTGTTTTAAATACTGGAAGCTGTTTATGTTTCATAGTACAATTTATAGAACTGCGTGTGTGTTTTATATAGTACAATTATGTATATATAGATAAATGCATAAACGAACAAATGGGCAAATAAACGTGAGTTTTTATATTCCAACAGTTTGTGATATTTCATTGTTCCAAAAAACAAAGTATAATATGTAAGTAAATGCGTGACTGTGCTTTACTGGCAATGGAATTGATGTGATATTAAGTGACGTAAAATCTGCGTGTTTAGTGAAAAATTAATTACTTGGAAAGAAGCACATCTTGAAACAGCGTGCAAAGAAAACGAGTCGCCCAGTATATTTTGTAGTTCACAAGCCTCTTCAGTGTAAGGAACTTCAAAATTAAATTCATGGCATACTTCACTTTAATGAACCTTCATTTTCAAAATGCCCTTGATGAAAGCTTTCGTATCTTCTCTTTCGCATTTTTTTTTAATAAGGAATATTCAAGTTCCTCTGGAATAATGGATGTTAAACTCTTCGTCCAATATCTACCAATTAAACATGCTAACTCATCATAAACTTTTACACGATTCTAAGAAAAACTTTCACGTTACAGTGTCACAACTCCACAGATATAACTTATTTAATTAGTATCACAAATTTGTCCAAACATTGTATATTAATGAAACTAACACATCCATTTAATTTGGTAATTCTAACTAGCTAGAACTATCCAACTAAAGTTAGACCAATTTACAATCTTCCAATAATTATACAATAATTTACAATAATTTAATTATATTTCTTCTAATAATTTACAATCTTCCATAGAAATTTTATACATTTGAGACGATTTATTTTCAGAGGCTTGAATGATTTTTAATAAAATACGTAAATCGAGGCTTTTGTATTATAAATTTTGCTTTCGTTAATTTCTTTGTTATTTTCAATGTCAAAAATGATCTAAAATGTTCTCTCTAACGTCGATTAAAAGTATTGTCGCACAGCGTGAAACAAAATACGAGCCGAATAATCGTTGTTCGACGTGTTTTAGCAGCAGTGCTCGAAAATGCCGGGTCAATCCGCTCGAAACTCGAAAGGACAATCGATACTGGCAGACCACGAGGGAATTCCCTCCGGAGGTCTGCCAATGGAGACGACGCGGCTCTGAAACTGACCTTTCGTAATATCGATTAATCGGTCGTTATGTAACCATCGCGACACAACTGATCAGCGCCAATTGTTTTTCCATGTTGATCACTCCGCCGTGCTGATTTAATTCCGCCTCGAATTAAAAACGTCATTTTCGGAAGAATTTCGAAACACGAGAAAACTCTAGCGATCATATAAAAAAAAAAAAGCGTGTTTTCCTTGGTTAATTAATGACAATTAATCACGCTTCATTCTGTTCCTCTTTTTTTTTTCTTTTCACTTGATAATTAATATTTAAATGGCCAAAAATAAGCATTTCACTTTATTTTCGAGTCAGTCAAGGTAACATTTAATTATATTCTCTACTACATCGGAGGATACAATAAACTTCGATTTAAACATTTAAAAAAAGAATGTACTCTGCAATATAATCTAACATTTTCATCGGCAAGTAATCATTGATTGAACTTTAATTATACCTCAGCATCGGCATAGTTTCGCGCATAGTTCAACCTCTCGCAAGAAATGTGAACTTTAACGAGGCGGAAAGAATCGTACATTACTCGGAAATCGTATTATTCCGAAAATGAGGGAAGTAGCACGCGATACGATAAGAGGTAATAATCAACTTTACTGCCCGGCGATGATTACCAGTGGCAACACTGGAGGATAGCTCGCGGCCGAAACCACCCTCCGATATGCAAACAGGGCTATATTCGGGTTAAGAGAGCCCTCACGGATACGCGCGTTTCGGTTTCTGCATCATTCGCGAAATTTACTGCGATCTGCACGCAATACCGTGCCCCACTGTGTTATCGTCTGAAATGATTTACGTTCGTGTCATCCCCTTGCCCGTTTCCAGCTGCTACGCACCGAATATTCCGACAAGTTGTCGAATGTTCCAGCTGCGGAGGCGATCAGCTCTCCGAATGAAACTTCAAGAGAAACACTGAGGCAATGAAATTTAGCTCGAGCATTAAAACGGAGATTCGCGTCTATTTTTTTTTTTTTTTTTTTTTTAGAAATTACACGTGAATTTGAATTATAATTCCCGAATTACAATACAGTGCGACGTTGGAATTTAGTCTGGAAGTTAGCGTTGATTATTTTCGCCAGTGGAAATTGGGGATCGGAACGAAATGAAATTAATGCACACGGCTTGTTTGTACAGCTATCATCGGAGAGGATTAAGACAAATACGAAAATGATTTTTAAGGTCAGGACTATACTTAACCTCGGTGCCGCGTCTGGCACGTCACGCGTTTCTCGGTACAATGACGTTATTTGAAAATACCTTAAAAGATTTAACCTTAAAAACTTTTTTCTCCCCAAGTGGATTTTCCACTGTGGACCTCTCAACCACGTGATCCTCGAATTAACCTCTTGACGCAAACCGAACAGACAGTTAACTCTGTTGGATGTTAAATAACGCCTCCAGCGCATCTATATAAGTGTTTCTTACACAGTGTGATGTGCGTAAGTATAGTTGAACGTGCCACAAACATCAAGGCACTGGCCATACCCATCGAATCAGTAGCTAATCAATAATCTGATTATATCGAATAGACACAGCTGATGACTAGTTTCTTATCTCTAGTTATAATTTTATAACTAATAATTTTATTGTGTAATAATATATAGTATTATAATATTAGGATATATATTATATGTAATTATTAGGATTAATTTACATTTCAATCATTAACTCGGAATATCTTGAAATTTATTCCATAGAATATATCTCAATTCTAGAAGATCCACAGCTTCTCCATTTTTTCACCAATTGTAATTTTATAACTAGAATTTTCGTAATATAATTTTACTGTGTAATAATATATAAGACTAATACCCGTAGTATTAATATTAATATAATATATAATACTATACCCGTAGTATTAATATTAATATAATATATAATACCATACCCGTAGTACTAATATTAATATAATATTCAATTTATTTGCTGTATTAATATCAAATTTATCTACTTGGATTAATTCATATTTCAATCATAAACTCGGAATATTTTGAAATTTATTCCAAAGAATATCTTAATTCTGAGAGATCCTCATTTTCCTTATTTTTTCACCAATTATAATTTTATAATTAGAATTTTCGTAATATAATTTTACTGTGCAATAATATACAATATTATACTCGTAGTATTACAATATTAATAAAACATAATATTTATTTACTATATTAATGTCAAATTTATCTATACGATTAAATTACATTTCAGTAATTCATTAAGTCGGAATATCTTAAAATTTATTCTCAAAGAATATCTCAATTCTGAAAGATCCTCATCTTCACCAATTATAATTTTATAACTAGAATTTTCGTAATATAATTTACTGTGTAATAATATGTAATACTATACCCATAGTATTAATATTAATATAATATTCAATTTATTTACTGTATTAATGTCAAATTTATCTACAGGATTAATTCACATTTCAATTATAAACTCGGAATATTTTGAAATCTATTCCAAAGAATATCTTAATTCTGAAAGATCCTCATCTTCTTTATTTTTTCACCAATTATAATTTTATAATTAGAATTTTTGTAATATAATTTTACTATGTAATGATATACAATTTTACTGTGTGTAATTTTACTGTGCAATAATATACAATATTATACTCGTAGTATATTAATAAAATATAATATTTATTTACTATATTAATGTCAAATTTATCTATACGATTAAATTACGTTTCAGTAATTCATTAACTCGGAATATCTTAAAATTTATTCTCAAAGAATATCTCTGAATTCTGAAAGATCCTCGTCGTCTCCAGTTTTTTTTTCACCAATTATAATTTTACAATTTTATAACTTTCACAATGCAATTTTACCGTGCAATATATCAAGTTGAATGATATTTTCTTTTTTCTTTTTTCATAAACTCGGTCAAAGAATCTGTGGCTGTGACGACGACACCACGTCCAAGAAACTGTCACGAACGGCAAAAACAGCCACAACAAATTTCGTACAGGCGTAATTAGAACACTCACCCTGAAGATAATAGGCTGGCTTTAACCTAAACAGCCCTGGCACCCGTGTAACGCCCTGCCGCGTCGTGTCGTGTAGCTGCAACGCTGCCAAGAGGTCTATGCTATCGTCAGGATCGCTCTCTGTCCTGGATCTCGTGCTCTCTTCCGTGACAGCAACGCTGCTCACCGTCGTCTTTTCCTCTTTCTCGTTTGTCGTGCCGGACACTGTAAAATACACCACCAAACGGATCGATCGTTAATCCTTTTCCAACCTGGCTTGACAATGGCCAGTCATAACACGCCGCTTTGATTTACGAACGGATTCATCGCTGGCCCGCTTCTCACACACACACACGCGCGCGCGCGCGCGCGCAATCCAGCGTTTGGATACAATCGTTTATAAGGAGAATGACGAATGAACCTTTTGACGGGGGAGGAGAGTTTTTGATGAACGTCGTATGCACGGAAGATTGTTTGCTAAAAGAAGGTTTGTAGAAAGAGAGTGGCCATTGGCGAGAGAAGGGAGCAAGATCGAGGATTCTAAGGAGGATTTATTGATGACTGTGACGTATAAAGACGAATATTGATTATTATAGGAGATCTAAGATAAGGATGAGGTATCAGCGAATGATCGATGAAACGCAATTTATTTCGTAGTTTCGAGTCTCCTTTTAACCTCTTGCCACGCACGTCGAGATATCTTTTTGTCCCAAAATTGCAACGCTATCTCAGTTCTAAGTATTGTTTAAGTATAAACCAGGGCGAAACAAATGATAAATTTGTTAAATTACTTGTCAATAATTTCTATCCGGTGATGTCGTACCGACGAGCTCAAAAGGAAAGCGACGAATTATTGTATATTTAATTTGGTCGCTCGTTACGGCCCGCAATCGGTTGCCAGCACAAGTGGTTAACCTAGAATAACCTAGACTAACATTACGATTATCAAATTACCATTAAATTCTTCCCTCTATTTTATTTCTATTCTACTTCCCTAACTAGGAATAAACAACTTTCCTAAACCTATTTTACTTTTATCCTTTTATACTTTTGACCACAAATCAGATTTATCGTCCATCATCATCTCCATTGATCGAGGCCACGTTAACAAATTTTCTCGAAAAGATGTTTGGATCACAGTTGGATCTGAACTCGTCTGAACTCTCTCGAACGAGAGTTCCCATTTCCCGGTTGTTTCAACCCCTCCGTCTGGAGGAACGAAGGAGCCAGGTTCCGCGAGAGTCTTCCACTCGAACAGCAATAAAGTTCAATGGCGTATTTCCACTCGCTGTCCCCTGAATAATGTCGAGTGCCGTTCGACGAGCATCCATCCTCGAGGCGAGAGAGCGCCAAAGAGGCGCGTCGAACGAGGTGGAACGAGACGGAACGAAGGGAAACCGATCGAACCGGATGAAGAAGCGGAGGAGATAAGGAACGGGATAGGGAAAAGAGGCAGCGAAGCTAGCCTCTCGAAGTAGCGTGGTATCGATCGACTCTTCACTGTCGACACTCGTTATCGCTGTTTCCGTCTCTCTCTCTCTCTCTCTGTCTCTGTCTCTTTCGTAAACAAAATCCGATCGTTTCGCTTCGATTTTATATGGAAAAATCCATTTTTAGAATCCTCTCTGTGGGAGGATTGTACTTTACATTGGTATTTTTGTTCTTTTTCCGGAAAAGGAAGAACGACAGTAGTTAACCGCAGTAATAAAAGTACTTCCTACCCACGACTGATCGCCAGAGGATGGCTCGGGTAATTGAAAGTTCTGGCAGGTGCATGATGGATCTCTCTTTCTCTCTCTCTCTCTCCCACCGATGGTTTTCTCGTTTGGCGAGCGGGATGAAATGTTGTTGCACTGTGACAGACGTTTTTTTTTTTTTTATTTTAGATCCAGGCTTTAGATTGAACGATTGGCAGGCAGAATTGATCCCGCGGTTTGTGATTGACTTTTTGGAGCTTCGAGTTCTCGAGATTTTTTTCTCTTACAATTCTCGCATTCTACGCGCTTGGAATCCCACGTTTGAAGCAGTTTGCAGTCCGTTTCCTCGTTTATCCACTTGCGCTGGCAACCGATTGCGGACCGTAACGAGCGACCAAACGAAATATACAATAATTCGTCGCTTCCTTTTTCTTTTAAACTCGTCGGCACGGTACCACTGGATAGAAATTATTGAGAAGTAATAAATTTATTATTTGTTTTGCCTGGGTCCTACAATATCGGGGGAGACAGTGATGTAAGATAGAACGACAGACTGGTAGGCAGAATTAAGACTGGGTAAAGAGAAAAGCACACTGCGAACGGACATTTTGCATGAAAGAATATCTCGGGTAGATATTCGAGAAAGGAAGTTAACTTAATGGAAACACAGCGAGTATCTTACGGATACTTAATACACGGCAGGAAGATTGGCGCCGCATGGGTTATAGAAGAGGCGCTTGCAACCCATTGCGACGACGATCTAATTCCAACTGACCTACTGGAGCTAAGAGTTCCCTGCAATGATTTCCACTTTTCGTATTCCTCTTCCTGTCGCTTGTTCTTAGAATTTCTACTTAGAGTTCCAAACTGTGAGTCAACTTGAATCGCGAAAGTCACTTTTGCGCTGGAATGACGTGCCACGCAAAATTGTAATGTTTTCTCAGTTTTCAGTTTTATTTAAGTAAAAAAAAAAGAAAAAAAATAGTAAACAAAAAAGAACAAATAATAAATTTTATACTTCTCAATAATTTCTATCCGGTGGTATCGTACCGACGAGTTCAAAACAAAAAGAAAGCGACGAATTATTATATACGGTTTGGTCGCTCGTTATGGTCCGCAATCAGTGGTTAACCTCTTGCGCTGGAATGACGTGCCACGCAAAATTGTAATATTTTCTCAGTTTACAGTATATTAAAGAAAAAAGAAAAAAATTAGTAAACAGAACAAATAATAAATTTTATACTTCTCAATAATTTCTATCCGGTGGTATCGTACCGACGAGTTCAAAACAAAAAGAAAGCGACGAATTATTACATACGGTTCGGTCACTCGTTATGGTCCGCAATCAGTGATTAACCTCTTGCGCTGGAATGACGCACGTCGGGAATTTTTTTGCCCCAAAACTGCAATATTTTCTCCGTTTTAAGTATATTTAAATATAACCCAGGCGAAACAAATGATAAATTTGTTAAATCACTTCTCAATAATTTCTATCCAGCGATGTCGTGCCGACGAGTTCGAAAAGAAAGCGACGAAATTACTGTACACGGTTTTGGTCGCTCGTTATGGTCCGCAGTATCAGCTGCCAGCGCAACGTGGTTAATTCTGCATCGCGCGATTAGATTAAAAACTCAACGTTCTCCGGCTCAACTTTCAAACGAAAGTGGTAGGTACGCGTGATCCAAACGAGAAGTTGGGGCACACAACCGCAACGACAGGCTTCAGATTAAAAAGTGTCGAAAGGAACTTGCAACTTTCCATTGAGAAATACCTTCCTTCCAACCTCAAAGTAGTCAAGCGCCAACCTCTCCAACGGCAACCAGATCTCCAGAGGGAAGAGAAAAGCGAAAGGGAAGAACAGAGGGGCAGCCACTTAAAAAATTCCAACGCGAATTCTAAAGGTTTGCTCGTTAATTGACTCGATGGGGTTGCAGGGGGGGGGGGAGGGACTTCAGCGACGAATCAACGGGGCCATTGAAAAGCCGCGAGAAACGAGGGACCAACCGAACGTAAAACAACAAGCCCGGCGAACGTTTCTAAAACGGTCGGTGAACGGGGAAAATTCTTTTTTAATTGCTCAACGAGAGAGAGAGAGAGAGACGAGCGAAGAGAAACTCCGATGGAGAATCGCCCGTTTCCCTTTCATCCGCGAAACGAAACACAATCAGGGGGGGGGGGGGGGGAGAGGGGGTTTTTGCGCGCGAGACGTACTCCCGCGGACATTAATCGGGGCAAATCGTCCGGTAAATTAATGGCGGTGCTGGTACGGCCGTTACTCGCGTCTAAAAGCGGACGCTGCATCTTTTGATCCATTGGCGTACCCCTTTTTTGTCGGACTTCGCTTTGTGTCTCCCGGGGCTAAAAGTCTCCCTTTGACTCGGCGCGATTCCATCCTCTCCCCCGTCTTCTCTCGCTAATTCCACAGAAGTCCTTGTCTTCGACGTTCAAAGTCCTTTCTCGTCTCTCGTTGCTCTCTTAGCTTTTCGAATCGAATCGCGGGGGGTTGCGAGAATTCGCGATTTCTTAACACCATTATCCGATGGTTAGTATTCATTATTTCGCAGCGTTGGAACGAGACTCGTGCTTCGCGAAGAAAAAAAAATCACCGCTCCACTGTTATTTCGCAGGAATATTCGAAATGTTTGTCAGTGATGTGGATCATCTTAAACATCAGCGAGTGCAGAAGACGTGGAACGTAAATCCGCGGGTTAGTTTCGAGCCCCGTCGCCAGAGGACTGCTGCCAGCGACCACCCCTGCCAAGATTACCTCGAGCCAAATTACCGAGGCGAAAATTAAACACCGAAAAGAAACGACAAAGGAACCAGCTGCACCCTATCGACTAACTTTCGTAAATCTTATCGCGGCTCGAAAAGTATCTACTCTGCTCCGAGCCGATTCTTCCAAGTCCCGCAACGCCAACGAAACTTGCAAAGTGGTGCAAAAGAGAGAGAGAGAGAGAGAGAGAGAGAGAAAGAGAAAGAGCGAAAGAAAAGCGACGCGAGGCCCCGATCATCGATTGGTCTCGCAAAGGGTTAACGAACCGAGGGCGAATTTCCGCGAGGCGACGCCTATGCTCGTCCAAGAGCGGCGCTCCTTTTCTCGCGTCCGAAAACCAAACGCGCCGTTCCGCCGCTCTGCACGCGCGCGCGTCTGTATATGTGTGTGTGTGTGTGTGTGTGTGTGTGTGTGTGTGCGGGGTAGCCCGACGCCAAACGAAACTGGATGGAATGGAACGACGGTGGCAGACTGCCGGGCGTCGCGACGCCCGCTATCGAACCGTACGCGGCATTATCGTGCCGCTCGAGCAACAGAGAGGAAACGAGAGAGGGAGAGAGAGAGCAGGGTGGAGCGCGACGATGTGAACCGACTCCCACACGTACACAGTCGCCTGGCCGGCTCGGACACACCGGCCAGATATACCCAGTATACGTAGACGCCACACGGTGACGACGACGACGACGATGATGATGATGATGATGATGATTAACGGTCCCGGCCACACGGATCCCATCGATATTTACAACTGT